CTGGGTTGATTAGCCTCCAATCTGTATCTCTCTCTAGTCCCATCTCTGGAACACTTGTCTCACGTCTCAGACCAGTTACCTACTAAGTGATTAATCTGAAATGATAACTGATGATCCTACTGTCACTTCAGGTACAAAGTGTCTAAAATGGAGCTACTCATCAAAACACTTTCCAGTCAATCTTCTGTCAGTATCTAGCAGAGAGAAGTTGGAGAGAACCCTCTCCATGCTAGACTTTGTTTTTTTCATCACTGCTGTCTGTCATTCTGTTATCTAGACCTGGGGCCTCGCTAGCTGTGAGCCATCTCCTCTCCTGCAGGCACGCAGTCACCCTTCCTTCAGGTCCACCTTTCGTTTCTCTTGCACCGCCAGCACCCTCATCCCTACCACCTCTGCTTGGCTCACAGTGACCTCCTGGCTTGGCTCTCCTTGCCTCCTTACTTTCTCCCCTCAGATCTGACTGAAACGTTGCTGCTGCTGGCTTTCTCTTACAACATTGCTTTGAGTGTATTACCTGCTTGCCCTAAAACCAAAGTGTGTCACCATCACCTCGGAGGTCAAGTCTATTTTAGGTGCCTCCATATGATATCCAAGTCCTCCCAGAGAGTAACCCCAAACTTAGGACCTAGTAATTCCTTACACAAATCTTTTGCATCCTCTAAACTGATCTGCCACATCTAACAGACTTGTGGGTTTTCTCATCTCCACCCACTTACTGTATTTCCATCCTCAAAGACCCCACTGAGGTTCCATACCCTGTAGGAAGCTTTCCCTGAACGTTCCTGTCTGTGGCAATGGCTCCCTCCTCTCAGCTCAGGAAGAGTGAAGTGTTGAATAGGTAGCTCTTTGGACCCTATAAGAAATACAAGAATATGTCTCAACTTTTCAACTAGATTTTAGGTTTCCTTATAAGTAAGGTTATCCTTAAAAAGACGACATCCTTACAAGATGTCTTAAAAATCTTCATACTCTTTATATTTACCACGCTCAGTACATCTGTGGACTGAGTGCAATAGTAGTTCTCCACCTTGACAATGCATGTGAAGTACCTGTGGAGCTTTTTAACAAAGACTAATGTCTGGGGGCAGCCCCGGGTGGCTCAGCAGTTTGGCGCCACCTTCAGCCCAGGCGTGATCCTGGAGACCCGGGATCGAGTCCCATGTTGGGCTCCCTGCATGGAGCCTGCTTCTCCCTCTGCCTGTGTCTCTGCCTCTCTCTCTCCTCTCTGTGTTTCTCATGAATAAATAAATAAAATCTTAAAAAAAAAAAAAAGACTAATGTCTGGACCCTCATTGGGATTATAATATACACTTCATTTTGTGCTCCATAAATCTTACTTGGTGACATGAGCATGACCCTGTGTGCTTAAATATCCTTTGATTGCATACATTTTTTTCTTCTTATCATTGTTTTATTTGAATTAGGTTCTAGGGCACCTGGCTGGCTCAGTTGGTAGAACATCCAACTCTTCTTCTCTAATGTGGGTACAAGCCTCACATTGGGTGTGTCCATATAAGATCCATGGACTGTATTTGGTTCTTCTGTCTCTTATATCTCTTTTATTCTATAAAAGCTACCCTTCTCTGCTTTTTTAAGATGAAAAATATATAACATAAAATTTGCCATCTTAACCATGTTTAATGTACAATTCATTAATCACATGCACAGTGTTGTGCAGCCATCAGCACTACTTCCAAAATTTTTTCATCATCCCTAAGAGAAACTCTAACCATTAAGCAATAATTTCCATTCCCTCCCAACCTCTAGTAACCTCTAATCTACTTCCTGTGTCTATGAATTTGCCTATATTAGATATTTCAAACAGTGGAGTCCTATAATATTTGCCCTTTTATGTCTGGCTTCTTTCACTTAATGTAGTGTTTCAAGGTTCATCCATTATTGTAGCATGTGTCAGAACTTCATTCCTTTTTATAGCTGAATAATGTTCCATTGCATTTATGTATATGCCACATTTTGTTTATCCATTCATCTGTCAAATGGCACTTAGATCATTTCCACCTTTTGGCTATTGTGAATAATACTACTATGAACATTGGCATACAAGTATCTGTTTGAATTTCTGATTCAAATTCTTCTGGATATATATACACCTAAGAATGGAGTTTGCTGGGTCACGTGGTGATTCTGTTTAAGTTTTGAAGAACTGCCAAACTGTACATTTCACCTTATACTCTTATTTTTACCTGACATAGTAACATGATTGTGTCCCTGTATCTTTTTTTTTTTTTAAGATTTATTTATTTTAGAGAGAGAGCATGCCTTCTTGGGGAGAGGTAGAGGGACAGGGAGGGAGAAACTCAAACAGACTCTGCACTGAGTGCAGAGCACAAAGCCCGATGTGGGGCTTGATCCCATGACCCTGAGATCACAACCCGTACCTCTACAGGGTTGTTTAAGTATGTCCTTTTTTAAAAAATTTAATTTTATTTATTTATTCATGAGAGACAGAGAGAGAGAGAGAGGCAGAGACACAGGCAGAGGGAGAAGCAGGCTCCATGCAGGGAGCCCAACGTGGGACTCGATCCCAGGTCTCCAGGATCACACCCCAGGCTGCAGGCGGGGCTAAACTGCTGTCACCAGGGCTGCCCAAGTATGTCCTTTTTAATGGCGGGATAGTGGTCCAGTTATAGCTTTGGATGAGCTATCATTTATTTACTTAAGTCCTCTATATTGAACATTTAACAAATATTAGCTGTCTATTTTAATAACTCTTTGCCAAAAAAAAATCAGTGTATTCCTTTTAGAATAGATTACTAGGAATAGAATCACTGGGTTAAAATATATAAACATTTTTAAAGAAACTCTTTCCAAATTGTGATTCAGAAAGCTGGTTCAATTTACATATCCTGTATGAGAATACTGATTTTCCTTCTCTAAATCCTATTTAGATTGAACCATATGAAATTGTCAAGGTGATCATTTTGACCTATAAAAACAGTTTTATACGTATTAGTCAACTTATTTTTCAAAATCTGCAACTTGATTAGTAAAAATGGCACTTTTTAGTGTTAATTTACTTATTTGATTACTCTTAAGATGAACAGTTTTTTCATATGTTTATGGGCCCCTATTTTGTGAAATACCTAGTCATGCTTTTTCATTATTCTATTTGTATGTTTCTGTTTTTCTTAATAATTTTTAAGAGCTCTCTCTTACTAGGCTTGCTAACCTTTTATATGTTGTAGTATTTTCTGAAGTATATGATTTTTTTTGATATATAGAAGTTTAAATTATTTTATATGGTCAAATGTTTTTACAGTTATTTTGACAACTGTGAATTATGCACCTGCTAATCCCTCTTTCTGGAATATTGTATTATTTGGATATTACTATTCAATTCTTTTTTATTAAAAAAAAAGACTTTTAGGGTTATATCCTAGATTTTAAAATACTTCATTTCATTGAGTTCAAGAAATCATCAATTGTAAGACACATCATTATTTGATGGGCCACTAAAAAGAAAATTAAGATGCCATTTATGCTGTGACATGCCGGTGTTGCTTGATGTCAGAAATGTTAAAATACAAAACAAAAATTGTCTTAGAATTAATGAAAATACAAAGCTATAATAAATGCTGATAGTTGACTGGGAAAGCTATTCATCTCGTTAGCTCCTGCCTCACCTCAAATAATAAGTAGTCTTTGAAGATTTAAAGTCAGTGGAAACTGTTCTTTGGATGTGCTTATTAATCCACTATAATTTGAGTATTCATGAACACATTGGATCTCAGGGTTTGCAAGAAATTTAGGCATAATCTAGTCCAAATCCAAGTGACTTAAATTCTCTCTACAGCATCCCTGCAGATGGTTCCCTAACCTTTTGTGCCAATGGTATGAAGTGGGTTGGAACTTAATTTTAGTTCACTGTCCTTACCAAAGATGGGCTGATCACTTAGTGGGTTCAGGTGCAAGCTTTCCACATCTTAACTTTTGCGAGTCTTATCAGAGAAACTAACAAAATATCTGGGCCTGATTATGACCAGTAGGGAGCAGTGTTGTGCCTTGGGAGGGTAAACAAGCTCCTCAAGGTTCTGGAGGCTGCTGTGACCTCTCCAGAGGGATTGAGTACTCTCTGGGTCAGGAGAGGGTAGGCCCAGCTACTTGCTACTTGCCTATTTGCTGCCTTTGACTTCTTTGGAGAACTTCTAAGAGGAAGAATCTATGCCCCCATCTCACCCCCAGCAGCAGTTTTCTGCCCAAGCTCTGCTTTCTGATTATTTTATGAGGAGGGAGAAGTACTCACAGATGTGTTCTTGCCAGCAAAAGGTGATCTTTGATTTGAGATGGTTGACTGGGCACTCTCTGTAGACTGAATAGCTGCCACATTGGTCATTTCAGTGATTTGTTCACTCGGGGGAAGATAAGAGGAGAAATATGGGGTATTTTACTTATGTAGTCCTTGGATCACTACTTCTGAACAAACATCTTTTCAATATGTTGGAATTGTTGGAATTATCCCCTGGCTGCTAAAATATTTCTGCTTGCTTTTTGGTATGAAATCCTTTATACTTGATGCATAGCATAGTCTTCTATTCCATGTCTGCTGCCCCTTTCACTGGGACATGTTTTGTATTTTTCCTCCTGCTGCAGGTTATGGGAGAAGATATCGTCCCAGAAAAAATAAAAGATGAGGTTCATACAGAGGTGAAGTGTGTTGGTTCTACAGCCCTGACTGCCTTGGTGATTGCATCTTCGAAAGAATTTGAAGACAAGTGGTTCAAAAAGATCAAAGACCACTTCTGTCCTTTTCAAAATCAGTTCCATACAGAGATACAAATCTTGGCTTAGTGGTCCCTTTAAAAACAAAAGAAAACATCCTGCACTGTTTTAATTGTCCTTATTTATTTCGGATAGAATCCATACTAATCATGGAATATAATAAATTTATTTATTTAAAAAAATTTTTTTTGGAATACAGTAAATTTAAAATGATTGTTTTATAAAAACAGCTTCTCTTCCAGATTATTTCTACTGTGTCATTTTTTTTAAACGTTTTCTTTTTTTTTTTAATTTTTATTTATTTATGATAGTCACACACACACACAGAGAGAGAGGCAGAGACATAGGCAGAGGGAGAAGCAGGCTCCATGCACCGGGAGCCCGACGTGGGATTTGATCCTGGGTCTCCAGGATCACGCCCTGGGCCAAAGGCAGGCGCTAAACCGCTTCGCCACCCAGGGATCCCTCTACTGTGTCATTTCTTGATTTTTTTGTTTCCATTGTAGATTTTTACCATTCACTTATCTTAAACCTACTATCCCTTTAGAAGGTACCTGTTGGGAAAGTGAATAAAAGAGGCTTTTAGATACTAATAGTTTTTTTTTTTAAAACAGGTACTGTGTTATAATCAACAATAAAAGTATCCACATTGTTTAGGTAAATTCATCAGGAAAGAACGAGAATGTTGAAACATAAAAGTAAACCATTTCTAAGAAGGGTGTATCAAAGTCTTTGAAGGCTCTGAGATTTTGTATATGGGTCTGAACAAAGAGTGCGCATGGAGTAGGCTGTAGTATAGAAACTCAGGTCTCTCTCTCGTGGGCAGTACTCAGCATGCTGGCCTTGTGCTCCAGGGGAGGACACCTTCTCTTTTGTAAGGCTGTTTGCTGTGCAGGCATCATTGAAATTACAGTCTGGAATGAAGGGCAGTCTTGCTCACCAGAGGCACAAAAACACAAGGCCCACAGGGCACTGTCATCCAGGGTGATGGTCTGTCCTTCCAGCCACTTGATTAGAGTCACAGCCTCTAAAATCTTCCATACAAAAGGCCATCATCTTACTCGCATCATCTAGAATGGAAGAGCGCCCTTATGAGGAGTGGAATTTAATAGTAAACCAAAAACTTCATCAAGTGTCCCACACAGCTTTTTATTCTTCTCAGCAGAGGGAAAAGAATTCCAGCCCTGGGCAAAGAAGTGGAATCCTCGAGATTTCCCTTCCACTTCACCGGCTGCTTCACCCCTTCCCAGGCCCCTTCACAAAACAGAAATGTCTGATTCTCTTTCTATTTTGACTGGTCTTTTAGTATGTATGATAGCTTGACTAGCGATTTTAAGTTGTCATTTATCTCTAATGTGAAACAAAAGATTGGTATGATTAATAGACATTTTAATTTTTAGGAACCATTATATGGAAGCCTCTCAACAGCTCCCCATTGTCCTCCATCCATCCACTCACGGAGTCAATGAACAATCACTGTGGAGCTCCTGTTCAGTGACAAGCATTGTGTGGTTGCCGTGGAGACACTGGCTCTGGGAGTTTATGGTCTAGTTGCGGATGGCCCCCAAGGATAGAGCCCAAACAGAAACCTGGTTTGCCAAGCCTTTGGCTCCCAGGCTCCCTCCTTCCCAGCTCCCCAGCTTTAAATGTGCCATAGCTTTTGCCTTCAGGCCTTCGCACTGGCAGTTTGGCCTGGCACCTCTCCCCATCCCCTATCATAGGGCTGCTTCTCTAAGCCTTTCCAGTCTCTACTTCTTACAGCTTCCCAGAAGTCTTGACCTCCAGGTGGCAGTAGGTTTCCCTCTTTCATGCTCCTTCACTATTTCACTCCCATACTTTCATGCTCCTTCACTATTTCACTACTCCGTGGTGATCACCTGCTTGTTTATCACGGTAGACTTTAAACTTTGTAAAACTAGGGACTAAGACTGTCTTTTTCATAGAGGTATCCTCAGGACAGAATACTCGACATTTCATTAAATATTTGTTGAATTTCTGAATTAACTGCATTAATTCAGTTAATTACAAAACATCTTATTTTGTTGGCACAAAAACTTAATTCCCCAAAGACCCAACACAGTGCTGAGGCAGTGGAAACACCCTGCCTGTTTCTCTTTCTGGAGCTGAACACCTTCCCCCTGTTAGTCTAGGCCTCCTAGAAATACCCTTTCCCCTCCAGTCTGGCTTGGCTCCCCATCTCCATTCTAGTGCCCTTCTTGCTGCATCCATGCTTTCAGCTCTCAGCCCTCTGGCAGTCCTCCCAGATCCAGTGTCTGTGCTGTCCTGAACTCCCTGAGTGGTCTCCATGTGAATCTTCCCGCACCCCTGCCCCACCTCACTTTCCTGGCAGCAATATGATGATGATGTGTGTGAGAAGCCAGCCTCCTTCACCATGATGCTTGGCTGTAATGCAAGGTGGGGAAGGGCACTCAGAAATACTGGGCACCTCAGAGTTTCCTCACACACGTCATCTTGATCATTTCCAGCACAGATGGTGAAGGGCAGGGTTAACTGAGCAATGATTATGCTCAAGAAAAATCTCAGGCCTGCCTACTTAGAGACCCCACCCTCTTGTCAATGAGTGAATCACAGGGAAGGTGAGCAAATGTGAACCAGGGGGATGACTGCACTCCAGGTGGGTGGGGTGGGACCCAAGGGCAATCCTCACCTCTTGTGACTCCCAAAAGGTCTGTCTGCAACATTTTCTCCCAAGGTGGAGTTTGTAGCTGGCATTTGAGCTGATGAAAGTCCTTTCTCCTGTATGCTCTCACACATCCACAATCTTCATACTGTAGCCAGAGGGTCTTAGAAAGATCGTTTTCAGTGCAGTAGTGGACTTCCCAATTCATTCCCACCCAAGCCCTTTGCCCATGCAGTTACCTCTACTGGGAACATTCTTTCCCGTAGTCTCCCAACCCTGCCATTAGTTTCCCCTTCCTACAGATCTCAGCTCAGGGGTCATTCTCATACAAAATGTTCCTGATCCCAGACTAGCTTAGGTCCCCCTTTAAATTTCATAGTCTCTGTGCTTTTTCCCCCAAAGCACCAAATGGGATTATAATTGAAAAAATAGAGGACTGGCCTTTGTCTATTTGGGACTCACTCTTGTCATTTTCTCCCTCCTTAGCAGAGTGACTTTACTACCTAAAGCTTCAGTGTTGGGTCTGCTCAGCCCTTGAGTTAACAACCACCCGACCGACCCCCTATCTCTGGGAACTACCCTCTCACCCTCACAGGTGGGTACCTGGCTGCCATATTTGTACTCAGTGACTCTATTTGGAGAGAGGATGGAGGGTTTACCTGGGAATATCTCAACCAATCAATCTCACCCAAGAGATTTAGAAATCAAAGACTCTTCTCCTGTCTGAAACTAACAGGGTCAAAACCTGGGAGTGGCTGTGTTCTGCCAAAGTGGACTGAGGAACGGACAGAGAAAGTCTACAGAGGAGGAAAAGTAATGCCCAGATGCCTGGCTACTTCCTGATTGCAAGCCCTTCCTGTTCTCTACCCCCAGCTACATTCCTGGCTGAAATCTCCATGAGACACCTGGAGTGTGGTGAGCAGAATAAGAGCCACCTAAGGATGTCCATGTCTTAATTCCCACAACCTGTGAATACTTTAGGTTACACGGCAAAGGGGAATTAAGGTTGCTAATCAGCAGACCTAAAAATAGGGAGACTATCCTGGATTATCCAGGTAGGCCCAGTGTAATCACTGGGATCTTTCCAAATGGAAGATGGAATGTATTAGGGCTCTCCAGAGAAATAGAACCAGCAGGAGATATCTGTATATCTGTAGCTATAGATACAGATATATGTATGTACTTATCCATGTATATGTATAAATGCGTGTGTGTATATAGAGAGAAATTTTTTATGGGAGTTGGTTCATATGATTATGGAGGCTGAGAAGTTGAAAGGCCTGAAAGTCAATGGGGTTAACGGTCTATGTCCTGATCTGCATACCAAAGCCAGAGAACCAGAAGTGCCAGTGTCCAAAGGCAGAAGATTGATGTCTCAGCTCAAGCAAAGAGCAAATTTGCCCTTCCTCTGCCTTTTTGTTCCATTCAGGCTTTCAGCAGGATGAATGATGCCCACCTGCACGGGGAAGGTGATCTTCTTTACTCAGTTCGCAGATTCAAATGCTCATCTCTACCAGAAACTCTCAAAACACACCCAAAATAATGTCCTACCAGCTATCTGGGCATCCCTTCGCCTAGTCAAGTTGACACATAAAATTAACCATCACATGGAGACAGAAGGAGTGAGTCAGGGTCAGAGAGATGCTATGCTACTGGCTTTGAAGATAGAGAAAGGGTCCACGAGCCAAGGAATGCAGGTGGCCTATGGAAATTGCAAAAGACAAGGAAATGGACTCTCTCCTAGGGTGTCCTGCTGGCCCAGTGAAATCCATGTTGGAGTTCTGAACTAGAGAACTGTAAGGTAATGAATGTGTGTAATGTGTGTTGTTTCAAGCTATGATGTTTGTGGTCATAAGATGACTGCTTGAGCTAGTTTCAGCTCCTGTTACTTGCAACCAAAGAATCCTAATACAGACCACTTGGGCCCCTTCAATCTCGGTTTTAGAATAAGAATTTGATTCTCAGAAGGCAATTTCTTTTATACATGACTTTCCTTTTTAAAACTTTGATAGAACATTATTGTAGAAGGTATCAAATAAAAAATGCAGCACCTGCTTTCAAGAGCTTCCATTCTCTAGCTGAAGTAACGGGACATCCACATAAATAGTAGATAATGGGCAGGAGGGAGGTCTGGCTATTGCAGGGTACAGAGGAAGGTGGGGCTTCCAAAGAAGTTTCATGAAGGTGGAAACATCCGAGCTGGACCTTGGGAAGGGGAGGGTTTGCAGCAGGGTCTGTGGGGAACAAGAGACAGGCATGTTGAGTTTCTCAGTAAGAAGATGTAAGGAGCCACGACCTGGAGGATGTGAAGGCTGGTTGTCCAGGTTAGCGGGCATGAGGGGACATGGGAGATGAGGCAGGGCAGGTGAGCTAGCGTCACATTATGAAAGGACATTGATGCCATGTAAAAAGTTTGACTTCACTCAGGGAACAAATACCAAACTAGAGAAAGTTTTTGAGCAGGGTTAGGGTTGTGCTTTGGTCTGATAAATCTGATTTTACTTTCCAAATGTTAAAAGTCTTTTAGCTTCATGCAACATGTGTTTGGGGGCTGGTCTAGGAAAGCTCCAGATATTGGTACCAATGTGGAAGGTGGAGGTGGCCTCAAGATCCCCCGGATGTTCCAAGGGCCTTAGGGAATTCACATTGTTGTGAAGAATTTGTTACTCTTCAGGGCTTCCCATTACACTTAGAAGGCCAACTCCAACCAGCCTTTGCCTGCTGTCTGGCGCGCTCTTCCCACCTTTTTCGTGGTTGACTGCTTCTCACATTCTAGTGTCCACCCCTGTCTCCCCTCATACAGGCCTTCCCTGCCCCCCGTCACTCTCAGACCCAACAAACCACAGATAGCAAGATGCAGGCAGGCAGCAAGGCCCTTGACGCTGCTGTCTAAGCTCATGGAAAACAGGGAGCACATCCGCTTCCATCCACATTGGCCACCCAGCTCCTGGCACCCCAGAGGGCCAAGTTTGTGATTAAATACATGAATCCAGGCCCTTTTGGTGTGGAAACCGAGGCTGGCCTCCCAGGACTTGGGATAGAATAATTCAGCAAGGAAACGTGAGCTGGACGTTTCTTCACGCCGCCCTGCGGGGAGGGTTCCCAGCACAGCAGTGGCGGGCTCACCCCTCTGTGGGCTGCACTGCAGGGCCTGTGAGGAACTCACACATGTTCTCGAAGAACAGCCCCCAGAGCAAGCCCCTGACTCTGCTGCCAGAGTTTGAATGGAGAAGGGCCGTCTCCGGAGGCCTAGCTGAGCTGACTCAGCTGTCTGTTGTCCCACGGCAGGGCAGGAGGGGAGTGCCGTGGGGACAGGTGGGGGGCAAGGGCAGGGCTGCAAGGGGCAGCCCGGTGTCCAGGCCAGGCTGCTCTGGCCACGTGGGCCTACGTGGGAGGCCTGCCTGTCATGGCTGGCCTGTATTCCCCTCCCCCTATCCCGCCCCAAAGTTGTATGTTGAAGGCCTAACCCAGTACCTCATTTGTATTTGGAGACAAGGCCCTTAAAGTATTTGGAGATAAGGCCCTTAAACGCCTGGCACCAAAATCACTGTTAGCCAGGATTGTCTGGGGCAACAGAACCGCAACATGCCTATTTGTACTTGTATCTGTACCTGTGGCTCCGTCTGTCCAGAGAGATCTAGTACATGCATTGGCTGATGTGATTCCGGAGGCCGGCAAGTCCCAAGGTCCTCAGGGTGAGCAGACAGGCTGGGGACCCGGGGGAGTCCAGCGTGTGGTTCCAGTCCAAAGGCCAACAGGCTCAAGGCCCAGGGACAGCCAGGGTTTCAGTGTGAGTCTGATGACAGGAAAGACCTATGTCCCAGTTCAAAGGCAGTCAGGTAGAAGGAGTGTCTTCCTTGGGGAGGGTCAGCCTCGAGGGTGGCTCCTGCAGACGCCCCCTCAAGCACGCCCTCCCGAGGGGAGAGGGACACCGCACCTCAGGAAGCAACATGTCTGCCTCAGGCGAAACACAGCAAACAACAAGAAAGGAGGTTGTGTTTATGCTCGTGCATGTGTGTCTGTGATATTTATACTCTCTGGTAACAGTTTTTCTGACACACATACGCTCTTCAGGAGGAAGCTGAGAAAGTGAGTGGCAGTTTCTCTGTGTCCAACAACTTCTTGGACCAAGTCCAGCAAACGAAGCGTTTGAAGATGTGGCTCTGGCACCTTCCGTGACAGGCCAGCATGGCAAGCAAGGCTGGAGACAGGGAGCCCACGTCGAGGTGAGAGCAGGAGCTGGGAGAGGAGAAGTCATCCTGCGCTGTGTCAGTGTCCCCAGCAGGAGCCAAGCCCCTTCAGCAGTCAGGTGGCACTCACTGTGGGCTGGGACCACCCAGGCGCTGAGGTTAGGGCCCCCAGGGCCAGCAAAGGTAACCTTGGCCTCTGGGCTCTTACAGGGCAGACAGGGCGATAAAAGGTCAGAATCTGGTGAGGAGCACGTGAGCACAACAGATAATTTCTAGGAGAGGCTTGTGGGACTAACATTTCCAGTCAGTCCTGGCTGATAATCCTTCTGGGTAACATGAGCCCTCATCCCCGGTATGGGGCATGCATCTGGCCGTCAGTGACGCCCCCCTCCACCCTCCACCATGCCTGTCATACTATTTCATTCTGTCATGTTCTTCACGATGGTGGTTCACGTGGGTGTCACGCCTCGGCCACTTTTGGAGTTCTCCAGGACAGACGTGAGTCTGGGTCCCTGCCTGGAGCTGAAATGGTGTCAGCACACACATGGCAGGTGTCCCCTGGCTACCGTCGAATTTCACACGGTGGCAGAGACGCCATGTGTTTAGGACAGCCCCCAGCGAGCAGGGCAGCCAAGGCAGGTACAGGTGTGGTTTTAGCCCAGAGCAGAATTAGAGACAGGGCAAACTGGGTTTGGGAGGATTGGAAACTTGGATTAGCATTTGCTTTGATCCTCAGTCACCCCCTTGCCATGTGTGTAAAACCCTCCTGGTGTCTGGTGGAAATAGCGTCTTGGGGTGAGAGCCCAGGGCTTGGGGGGCCCTTGGGAATCCAGTTCCACAAAGGAACGGCCCAGCCTCACGTAGGCAGGTCCCAGCGGGCTAGGGTGGATCATGATGCAGTGATAAATAATCCCAAATCTCAGGGCTTGCACAACAAAGGTTGATTTCTGGCTCCTGCTACTTATCCACTGCGGGGGTCGGTGGGTGGGAGTGGGAGGTCCTGCTCAGCACCATCCCTTGGGAATCTGGGCTGACGGAGGGGCTCCATCGGAGGCGAGCTCCTGCACGGCCACCTGCACCCAATCTCTTAAAGCTCGGGCTGGAAGTGATCCCCACCACTTTGCCCATATTCCACCAACCACAGCAAACCAGAGCTAACTTCCCCGGCAGGCAGGAGTCACACATGACAAAATGTCCAGAGGAGGAAAAACCATATGTGTGAACTGCTAAGAAGACCTCGGGATGGGGGGTGACTGGCTGGTGCAGAGTGAGTGGGGGCAAGGGGGCTCGTTCCTCTCCGTTCAGACTGAGCCAGCTGCAGGCCGAGGCAAAGCCGGCCTTTGGGGCTCTTGGTCCCTGGCAGGCTTTACCTTCCCGAAGCTTTCTCAGCAGACTGGAATCCAGCTTAGAACTTTCAGCGGCCCCCAACCGTTCCAGCTCCAGCCTCGTTAGGGCAGTCAGCAGGAAAACAGCACATCAGGACTGGGGTTTAAAGAACCTTCAGGAACCAAAAGGGTTTTTTGTTGTTGTTGGACTTTTAGGAACTAAGGAGG